AAAGGAAAAATATTCTAATTCTACTCTAAATATACCATACAAGTCTGTGAATGGGTTGATGGATTGATATGTTGTGCTTGTAGAGGAATGTTTGGGAAAAGGAGTTAGATGATTTAAATTCAAAATTGCGAATTTGAACTCAAATTTTTTTTTTGCTAAGAGATTTTAGTATATGGTGTAGTGTTTTTAGGTGCATTGAGTGAGGTGAGAGAAGCGTTGATTGGATGGTAAGAACTTCTTGACACAATAGAGAAGGGTGAGTGTTTGGTGAGAGAAGGTGCACTTCAAAAGTAAAAACCATATAAATTGTGCACAAGGGAAATTTGTTGGCAGGCTCTTGAATGGTGAAAATGATTAAGAGGTTTTAATAGAGTGCAAAATAGTTAATTTTTTAAAATTAGATGGTAATAAAAAGTGCAATAAGCTGTTACAAAAGAGCAAAATAGCCGAAATTGTTGAAATCTTGGTCATAAAGCACATGATTTTCATTCTGGTATCAAATTGACGTAGGGCAGGCAATGAATATATGAAAACATGGGGATTTAGTTGCAAAAGAGGGAAAATGGATGGAAAAAGAAAGATAAATAATGATTCTTCAATTTATTTATATTATTTTTTTTTCAAGTGTTAGCTTATTCAATGAACTAAACCCTTAAAACATGAAGAAGATGTATATCTATAAGCATTGATATGAGGTTAAAATCCTATTCAATCGCAGCTCAAAATATTCTATTTTTCACTATCTGAGCTAGGTGACCCTACGCACTATTTATAATAATAAATCTTATATATAAAATGACAACATTACTCATGAACAATGAAAACGGTAATAGTTGTCTGAGATAACAAATTACACTTTAAACTCTAATAATTAGTTTAAAGATGACTAGGAATCTAGGACAAACATAAAATAAAACAATGACAAATTATGGCATAAACTTATTCAATAATAGTATGATTGGCATCAAAGAGTTAGCATCATATACACTAGCAAAGTGCACAATATTCATGTTATAGATTTAGCACCTTTTATCTAAGATTATGGAAAATAGATTTATTTGGCTTAGGCATTTACAATTAAGAGTAAACAAATTGAACATAAACAAGTTGAATCATGTTCAACTTAGTTTGCTAATTATGGAGTTGAACACATGTCAAATGTGAACAACAAGGTATCAATGGCCATCAAATACATTAACAATTTTTTAATTGATGATTTTATTACATGAAAAAGGCTGTTGATTTTTTTCACATCTTTTAGGCATTATAAAACTCCATGTATGAGTTGAAAATTTTGTTAAGCTCTCCTTGTTTTTGTAGTTTGAACTCATGAAAATTATTATGCTGAGAATGCGTTGTTTGGAAATTTAAACCCTTTTAATACTCTATGATGCTAAATTAGAAAGTGATTAATCTCAACAAAGAATGATTGATGAACACAACCTCAGATTGTCTTAGCAAGGATAATGGTTTGATAATGTTGACTTTCTAAATCATTGGTTATAAGAGTTTCTAATTTGGTAAATAACTTGTTTCACAAAACTTGTTTATTGCATGAACCTAATATTACTTGCATTGTTAATTATCATAATTATTATCCTTAGCCTTATCTCAAGCTATTTGGAGCTGTCTTCATGAATCTTCATATTTCATACAATCTTCTTGAGTGTTTCTTGAAGTTTTATCTCTATTCTCCACAAATTATTTTAGATAACTTCTATCCATGATATAATAGATGCACCCTTTCTTTTTAGTCCGTTGATTCCAATTTTATTAATTCATCTATTAGGTACATTTTCTTCCATTCATTGTTCGTGTCCAAAAAATCGAAATGTATTTCCATTTACTATATATTATTATCACATTAATTATTCATTGAATATAAGTATTCTTTAAATTCTTTTTCTTAGTATTGTCACTTTTTCCTCTAACGTTCTTATTTTTTCCTTTCTCAACTTAGATATGTACGTTTTTTTTACTTGCCAGTACTTAAAACTATATAACATCACCAATCTACTTGTGATTTTACGAAATTTAACTTTAGACCTTTATAATATTCTCTTATTGCATTATTTACTTTAAAGGCGCTTTTTCACTTTAGTCGCATAATTTTAGCTCTAAAAATTTATCCTTATTTATATTTTTCAATATTTCTTTAATGGATTCAAAGATATTTAAATCTATCACACCTAAGTTTTATTTTATTTTTGGTAATGTTAATTGATAATTGCTAAAATCTTACATGCTTTAATTGCATGTCATATGTTTGGTTTTTTTCCCTGAATTTATTTTCTTTTTCTTATTTTTAGTATTGTTCTAATTTATTCATTTATTTTTGTGAATGTTTCTTTTTTTAAATTATGTCATCTGCAAAATGCATACAATGGGACATGCTATTTTTAATAATCTCGGTAAGCATCACCATAAACAACATGAAAAAATATTAGTTTAATGTTAATTTTTGAAGCAATCATATTATAATTTAAAATTATTTGGTTACTTTAATTATTTCTATTAATATTTAGGGGTGCATAATTCAAATTTTTAGTAGTTTCAGCATACCTTTGATACAGACCATTCCATATTAATGGACGCCGCATCGTATCTTTTAGTACTCATCACTTGCCCTTCTTAAGATCAATAATACATATGAAGTTATTTAACTTTTGCCCTTGATTTTCGATTAGTTATTTTTAAGATAAGCCACTTGCATTATTAGTGTTTTCTAAGCCCATGCTCTATTATTCTCTTCTCTAATTCTTTTGAATTAAAATTCATTATTTGTTTGACTATTTAATAATTAGCAAGGTTGACTTCTCTATAATTAGCACAATTTTAATCACCTTTCTTTTTTTAAATTGTAGTATCAAAATAGTTTTTAATCATTTGATGTCTTCTTACTCTTCGAAATTTTATTCATATAATTTTAATTTTTGCCATAGTTGTATCCTCGATACCACTTAAAGTATCAGTAGTTATCTTAACTGGATTTGATGTCTCCATGCATTCTTTTTAGAGCTACTTTCACTACGTTTTTTCAATTAATTTACAATATACTTATATAGTTTATTTTAACCTTTCAGGATAATTTAATTTTTAAAAGTTTTATTTAATAAATTTTCAAAATATCATTTTCATCTTTTCTTCATATATTCTCTTTGAGCACGATCCTATCATTCTCACATCTAATACATCTAATTTTATCAAAGTCTGTAGGTTTCTCATCTATTGCTTTGGCTATTCTATATGATTCATTTTCTTCGTTTTTGGTACCTAGCCTACTATTAAAACCATTAAAAGTTGCAATTTTTATTTTGCCTATTTGACTCGTTGCAAGGCTTGTAGTTTTATTATAATCCTTAAGCCTTTTATTCAATTTTTCCACACTTTCAAAGCATAAAATTTTCTAAATAATTTTTATACCTCCTTACCACCGATTCATATTAATATATCATTTATTTCTGATGTTTTCTAATTTTTTTTTTTTTACCTTAAACTATATATCTTATTCAATGTTAGATTCGGCTCTGCTAAAAATTTAATTTTCTCCCTACGCAACAAATTTCGAAATTGAACAGGTTCTTAAACATGTTTTAGCACACTTTTTTTCTCGCATTGTCAATCTAAAGGATTTTGGAATTTTACTTCATTTAAATGTATTTTTTGCCATCACTTTGATTACTTAAGAATAATGGTACTCTTTTTAACCGTCCCATTCTTCTATTCATGTTTGTATATTATCGATATGGTAAGTGGAGGCTTATGCTTAGAGAGGGTGAAAGTTATCTTGTATTTCTTCCATCAGGTTATTTCTCAGTCTGCCTTCATAACATTAATATTGGTTATTGAGGTTCTCTCCTGAAAAGCTTGGTAGTTTCTTTGCGGCTGTTCAACATTCTAATTAAAGATGTCTTTAGCCGTATGCTAAGTTCCAGCTTATTTTAGTTTGCTAGTTTTCATACCATTGATGTGTATTAGCTATTTATTTAGACCGCCAAAATATTTAAATAGCCTTATATTTTGATACCCTAAAAATTTCATTTCTGATCAAGTACTCTTCCTTGGTTATCTACAATCTAAAATATCAACACTTTGTAATTATGTTTGCCATAAACCAAATTGTTGTATTTACGCTGCAAGTCAAGTCGAACCTCTTCTATTATTTATAATACTTGTGCTGGCAGCACTAACTATTCTGGAGTATACCTATTATTAGTAATTTTAGGGTTTAATAGTACTTAGGTATATGTTTTAAGCTCTAATTGCAACCTTCTCATGTCTTAACGCGCATCAGTTTTGTTTGTCAGTTGGTATTTAGGTCATTTAACTATGTGAAACATGTTTTCCTTTCGTCAATCATTTGACTCTTTGGGACAAAACTAGTTAGGAATGCAGAACTAATTAAAAATGGTATTGTAGAATTGAAGAAACAACAAACTGCCGCAACCCAACTTGGATGCTAATTTTATTTTTGGCAAGTAGGACTGGGTTGGGGTTTCTCAAGTCTTTGAACTGAGGACGAAGACAAATTCCATTTTGTCTTTCTTTCTATAAAACTAGAGGATATTCCTATTACTAGAAGAATCGATTTACTCCAACACCATGTTTGAATAACCTCATAATTTTCTCCATCTCCTGTAGCGTTGTTCGAACCTTTATAAATGAAGATGAATGTAATGATTTAATATTTTTGTGATTTATTGCAAGGCCTTTCTCCAACCTTTTTTGTTTATTATGGTCTTCCTTGTGATATTATTGACCTACCTAAAGCTTTCACTCTAGTACCAAAGGGTAGTAGGAATGAAGATGCAGAGGGAGACATCGGCCTTTGTTGATTCACGCGATACAGCTGTCTATATCTGTTTTATGTGAAGAAAAAAAAAAAAACACTATGAAATTATAGTAGTACCGTTATATTTTCCAGCAGTGAACTATTGATTTTCATGCCTTTTCTTATTCAAAGAATTGGATTGATATCATGATTTATTTTCTAATCCCAGGCTCAAGCTGCTGGTAGGGCTGCACCTGGTCGAGCTGCCCCTCCTCCGGTCAGGAGATAATCAAACTTTCCTCTTATGTATTTTTGACTATCAAACTTTAATATGCTGAATGTTGAAATTGCTTATTAAGTTGTTTTTGATAGATTTTCTTTTTCTGATCTTAATGTTCTGAAGCTGTTTTGTCCTGAAGATTTGTCTTCATTTTATTGTCTTTGCTTGAAGCTCTTCTCCTAATCTCTGCTTCCAGAGATTGTGGTAATGTAACATTTCTTGGAGTTATGATTGTGTGATAATCTGAGGTTTGTTTTGCAGATCTCCCTTTTTCTAAGGGGACATTTACATGCATTCCACATAGTTCTTATGTATTTAAACGTTCTTATTTACATGTATATATATAACACTCAAAATTTTAATATTACATAAGAATACCTCCATTATTAAATTTTTAATGGTGAAATAGACCTTTTCATGCATAACTTTAAGACACCATTACTAAAGTTTTATAAATGTAAACATCAAAATTTGTTGCTAGATGTTTCAATATATAAGAATCGTGTGCAAGTTAAATCTTTTTTTTTAATGAATTTATGTAAATTTAAAATTATTTATGTTAAGCATATTGTATGTAAACACATATTTGTACTTAGCTGAATTTGATGTGCTATGAATCTATATTAAAGTAAATGTACATGTTTTGTTTAAAAATTCTTAAGTTAAATTTTTTTTGCAACATCACATGGTTATATATATATATATATATATATGAAGTTTTAAATAGAGTAGGCCAATAAAATATTGATTTTAATATCTTGCCGAAAAAATATAACAATAAAATTTATAATAAATTTATCCTTATTCTTTTAAAAAATCACTCAAAACAATTAAGTAGAAGTATACGGTCTCTGATGCAAATGAGACTGACGAAAATTGGTTTTACAATCAAAACCAAAACGCAAACAAAATGAACTCTGGTAATAGTCTTACATCTCTAGCCAACTGTAAAATAAGAAAATAGTCATGCTCTATGGCCAGAACCAATAACCGCTACGATAAGAGCGATCGACAGCCACAACAAATTCTCTTCTAGTCTTGTCCGTATACCGGCCTGGCTGCTACCCTGCGGCGAGCCTCCACTAGGCGTGGAACCAGCAAAGCCACCGGCTGATGGGCCAGGAGATGGTGCAGGCACGCCTTCATCTGATAATTATACAGATAAATGATCAATTTGAATGAATAAGACAAGTAATATATTATGTTCTAACTTGACTACTAATTTATTTTAAATACAAGCATCCCACACATATAATAAGCAAAAAAATATTTTATATTGCATTCATTTTGATAAAATTTCATTTAAAAAAAAGAAAAAATTAATCCGAATTTTATAGAATTTATTAATCAAAATAATTTTATGAAGTTTTACAGTGAGTGGCCTAAATGAATGCTATCATATTCATTACAATTAATTTATTTTTCAGTGAAGCAAAACTTATAATGTTGCAAAATCCTTTTCAATCCAATTTCGTTATAACCAAAGTGGTTAAATCCTATTTTAATTACTTCATTAGGTTATTTTTTAATTTTATACGATAATTTACTTTAAGAATTAAAAATTATATGTATATATATATATATAGAGGGCTTCGTTAGAGCACGTCTTACTGTTACAAAGCGATTGGTTGATGGTCTTGGTGAGGATGTCGGGCTTCGCTGCGCCGTTGGCTTTGGTGAAACCGGCGTAGGCGCAGCTGGTTTGCTCGCAGCCGGACTTGATCGTGTTGCCAAGCAGCAACTGGTTGTCGCATTTGACAGAAGGGCACGATTTGCTCAAGCCTTGCGTAGAATGGCAGGATAGCCTATTAATGATTCATGAATTTTGTTAAGGTTTCTTGCGAATTAATTATATATTGGGAAAATTTGAGGGGAAGGAGATGGGAGCTCACTGGTAACCCGAGGCAGCGCTGCAACTGCACTGGATGCAGTCGTAGGCTGTGAGCGCATAGCTATCGTTGGCGAGGCGTAGATTGCTGTCCGATGATGATGTGCTGATTGAAGAAGAACAAGCTGTGCGGAACCAAAAAGCACTCATTAATTCACGGCTATAGATGGAAAAAATATTACAAGTAGGTGCCGATTTTTGATGATAATATGATGATATGATGATAAAATATCATCAAATACTGCTAATCTATATATCATAATAATTGCTCCTATAGATGAAATTATGAGCCCAATAAGGGCAAAAATGGACGTATGGCTCACAAAGTTTTATTATTTACAAAACTAGCCCTCTTTCACAAATGTCAAAATTTCACTAAAGAATTAAAAAGCTCACAATTTTTTTTGGGTAATTTACATACATAGCACCAATTCTTATATGCATTTACTTCTCACATGTAAATTTTAATTTTTACACAAAGTATCTTTTCATATGTATGAAAAGATAGAAATAATATAATTCACTTGTTAGGATGCTTAGGTTGCAACAATCAAAATTTACATGTGAGATAAGTAAATGCCATAATAATTGGGTACATACTACATAGTATGTAAATTTCCGTTATTTTTTTTTTATCTAAATATTCAATAGTTTATTCGTGGCATACGTATGTGAAAGATTACCAAAAAACTGAGATTTTGAACCAAACCTCTGAGAGGAACATCTATGGCCTGTCCTGCCTCTAGCTTCCGCGGATCACCAATCCCATTGATCCGAAGCAGAGTCTCCGGCGAGGTTCCAAACTCGTCTGCGATTAAATCTATGGTGCTTCCAGGCTGCACCAGGTGCGCTAGATGGACCACCTCCTTCTCATCCACCACGTCGCAGCTGCAGGGCAGCGGTATCCACAGCTTCTCCCCCGTATGTATATTGTACGGGGCGGCGATGTTATTAGCGGCGGCGATTTCCTCATAAGAGATGAGTAGGTCATAGGTGAGCCGAGCTATGTTGTCGAGGCCGACGTCGGTGGGCTTGACGGTGTAGACAGGGGTGTGGTTGGAGCGGCCTTTGCCGTCGGAGCAGGAGCAGGGGAGAGGAACGCGGACGACGGAGGAGGCGGGGATGGGTTGGGAGGCGGGTGTGGAGAGAGGGAGGTTGTTGGCTCCGAGCAGTCGGGAGAGGTTGGGGACTTGGAAGAGGGAGAGGATGGCGCTGTAGGTGGTGGAGTTGATGGGGATGTATTCCACCAGGCTTTGGCATGTCGTGGTTCCCGTGCAGTTGAAAGTGACAGATTCGGACTCAGAGATGAGGAGAAGGAGGAGGAAGGGGAGGAGGAAGAAGAGAATGGAGTGCTTCATCTTTGCTTCTGATGTGATCTCCATTCTCTTCCACGCCTCTGCTTTAAAACTGTGAAAAAAAAAAGGTGTACTGGGGAAGGGGAAGACTAGTTGACTCCATGGGATAAAAGTCTAGACCGGATCGGGATAGACAATAAGAAAGAAGTTGTGAAAAGCTTTAGCTTTTTATATAAAAGTTAATATATAGATATATG